TTTCCATTCATCACCGGTCCCTTCTCCCGTCTAAATGTGCGTTACTTAACCAACCGATAAAGCATCTACGTCCTGTGATTTTTAAATTCACCTATCCTAGCCTTTTCCATTGCCTCGAACGGAACCCGCAGCAATGACCCCTCCCCCCCTTACTCTACCGTAACACTCAAATTACCGCCACCCACCAGGGGAAAACCCCCCTCCCCATCACGGAGGACGGGAATTTCCGCAAATTTTCCCGAGCAAAGCCGAATTCTATTAAATCCCTTGTGCTACGTGTTACGCGTGCTTTTTGGCTGCAGCAGTGGACGAATTTGAAAGTGCTACCGTAGTTTGGCAGGGTGCCAGCTGTTGCTTATAGCAAAATTGCGAATCGATTGGCATTTTTTGGGCTGTGCTGGTGGTTGGTTACACGGTGTTGTGTAATAAGTCACTGCTAAAAGAGGTGTTCTGCTGTAGCGTGGTGTGGTCATCCAGGTTGCTGCTCGAGAAGACAACAGCGACGAGGGACAGTTAAGGTTGACGAAGACAAAAACGACGACAGCTCAGCAATCATGGTAAGTAGTGCCAATTTATCCGCGGAATTTCTGGTTTCGTGGTCCCGACTCCCCGTTGGGTTGAGGCTTTCCTGGACAGGTTATAATTTTGGCCGTATTAAGCTCGGCTTTTCTGGATCTGCCTCGGTAACCGCGCATGATTCAAGTCATCCTCGACCTGTCCCTCTTTTAGCCATCGAGCATCTGGGTTTCCTGAATCTGCGGTGATTTTGTTGATAGAGGGTTTAGGTTTATATCGGATCCATTTCAGTTTTCTCTGTGGAAGATCCAGGCCTTCCTGAACCTAGTCCTGTTTTGTCATCAATGATTTAGTCGTTCTTCTTGAGCTTCCTCAGATTCCCAGACAAAGGATTTAAACTTTACCGGACCACACTTAATTTTGGCCATGGTTAATCCAAGCTTCCCTCGAATTTGTTCCGAATTTGGCCATGGACATTTCGGATTTTCACATGGGATGAAAGAATCCCAACTGTAAAAGTAGTAAAAAAAAAAATTGGCCAACGCACGGGCTACCCGTGCGAAGATGCGTTTTTTGCAGAGTTCCCTGCAGTTTTTGTCG